ATTGTTTTCTCTAAACAGTCAAATAAAGGTCAAAAGGTTCAGAATATGGGAATAGGCAGATGGAATCTGTGGGCTTGCTGTATACCACCTGGCTGAATGTTATGAATTGGAATTCCAAAAAAAGGTCATTATGAAGAGTAGGAATCAAAATCCAAACATCAAGAAGATGTATGAAGACTCTGAATCTAGATAGTAGATCTCAGAAAATATTGGGTAGGTCTCATTACAATTAGAGTAAAGGTGGCTCTGAATGCAAGATGATGTATATACATATATCACATCAGTCCAGTTGAGGATACAATGCACATTATCAACAGATAACAATATATTTTTTATCTCATAAATGTCCTGCCTATTTATTTCTCTCTTTAATTTCTTTTCTCACACTCCACTCCTTTTCCTCCTCCTACACTATCTCCAGTGCTGGGGTCCAGCCTCTGCAGGGGTGGGTTGACTTGTCAGAGCCGGCGCAGGAAAGGAAGACTAAGGCCTCGGTGCCTTTTCATGCACGTCCTGAGTTGGACATTTCTCAGAGATAGCTCTCTGTAGAGTGACAACTGCTAAGCATCATCATGCCTTTTTATTGAAAATGTGATACATGCAAGTAAATGGGTGAGGGGCTGTGTGTTTTAATTATTCAGTACATAAAGTTTTAACAATAGGGAACATAGGTTCCATTCAGCATTGGATTAAGGGTGGGACTATTGTAGTTCCGCAATTGTTCGTTTAATGTAGGCGGGTCTTCATGAAATGCAGTTTCGGGAAAGCAGCTCCAACAAGCAGAGATAATTATCAGCTGATGCGGTGGCAGCCATCTTGTAATTACTGAGCACAATGCTGAGAAAAGAAAATCTCAAGTATAGATGTTAGTTCAGATGGATCTCAGTAAAGAATGGCACTTATATTATTTTATAGGGATCTAAAGCTTAATTCAAGGAATCCTAATATATTTTAAAGGGGTGATACTATTGTTCACTTGGTAAGGGTGGGGACAGCTTTTTAAACTGGCAGTAAAGTGACTAACAAGTTAATGAAGAACTTTAAGGTGGGTTTGTGGCATGCTTAAGCATTCTATTGTACTTGTGGCACCACTGTTACGTATTTTATTAGAACATTAGCTACCGTGGGTCAGAAGTGTCCTGGGCCAGTTTTGGCCAAAAAGGTTATTTTTAAGCTTATGTTAAGTGTATCTTGAAAGGCCTTCAAAGGTCAAAAAGATTTCTGCTTAGATGTGACTTTAGCACACCCTCTATTGTGACCGCAGGGATGAAGCATTGTAATTAACAGTAGGTGGTCAGGGCAAAGGGGAGCAGTTGGGGGGACTTTGGGGAAATCTTATCATATACTCAGGATGTATAAGAGAGCTATGTAATTCTTTTATAGTAGTATATCACGGAGTCAGAGGGAGGTCGCTTCCCAGCAAGGCTACCGCAGTCTCTGGAGCATACAACAAGTGGCCTTGCCAACATGATGAGCCCACCCAAGCTGTTCTCAAAAGGTCAAAGGCTCAAAACAGATCCTGGGACCCCACCAGTTTGGACTCCTCCACTCCAGTACCCATAACTATTTTCCATGCTTCTATATCCTTTAAGCTTTCAGTTTCCACTTTAATGCAGACAGTCAGTATATATTACCTGGAGACATATAATGTCTCTCTTTAATAGCCTGGCTTGCTTCACTCAGCAGTAAATCTTCTATATTTGTCCACTGTCTATCAAAGGTCAGGGTATTTTTTTTTATGACTGAGTAATATTTCATAGAGCAAATATGCCACACTTTTTCAGTCCATTAAACTATTTTGGACATTTGGGTTGGTTCCATGTCTTACCAATTGTGAATAATATCACAGGAAACATAGATGTGCAAGCACTTTTCTGACTGAGCATTCTTTAGTCCTTTGGGTAGGTGCCCAGGAGTGGAATTACTAGATCATAAGGTAGTTCTATTTGTAGGTTTTTGAGGAAACTCCATATTGTTCTCCAGAGTGGCTGGACCAATTTACAAATCAACCAACAATGTAGGAGAGTTCCCATCACCACAGACTGCCAACACTTCTTTTCTCTTCTCTTCTCTTTTCTTTTCTTTTCTTTTCTTTTCTTTTCTTTTCTTTTCTTTTCTTTTCTTTTTTCTTTTCTCTTCTCTTTTCTTTTTTTTAATCTTTGCCATACTGACTGGGATTAGGTGGTATCTCATTGTGGTTTCGATCTGCATCTCTCTTAGAATGAGGATGTTGAGCATTTTTTTAATATGCTTTTTCATTGTTTGTGTGCTCTCCTTAGAGTTGTTTGTTCAGCTCATTTTCCCTCCTTTAATTGGGTTGGTCTTTTTTTTTTTTTTTTTTTTTGATAAGCTGCTTGAGTTCCCTCTGTATTCTCATTATTAAATAAAGAAAGAAGAAGAAGAGTTTAAATTGTTTCCAATTATCAACTGAAAGCCATTGACTAAATTGATATGTCGGGGTTGAGCAAGTTAAAATATGAAAATAGTCCAGGTATTAATTATTTAATAATCAAAAGTTGCTTTTTATTCTGTCACCATGGTGCCCCTGCTGAGCAGAGTATGATTACCTGGCAAAGGAGACCCATGATGATATAAATTTGAAGACTTCTCTCAAGGGTTACATGTGATGAACAGAATTAGCAAGCACTATATATTCTATTTGTTTTTCTGATGTTTCATCAGACCCTTCTAGATTGTTGCTCCAGTTAGATGCCAGGTAGCTAGACCCTTACTCTGGCTTTGTACAAGAAATTAACAAAATCAAGATGGATTCTTGGAAGATGATCTAGTTTCATAACAGCCTTGCCTCCAGTAGTGGCATGTAGTGGAGATGGAGAATAGATTGAGAATAAAAATGACAAGTGGATATTTAAGACCAAGAGACTGGGTGGTTGTAGTGTTGTACCCTGGTTTCGGAATTCCTAAGAGACCACCAAGGAGCCGATTCTGATGTAAATACACAAGGTTCACTTTTATTTGGGCTCGAGCCAGGACTCCCAATCTTACCGGCACAGAGGGTTCAGAGTTGAGAGCTCTGGTGTTAGTTGGGCTGGGTTTTTATTTGGCTGTTGTGGGGGAGGTCGAGGGGTGCTGAGGAATGCATTCAGGCAGCTACACATTGGCTGTAGATTTCAAGGAATGTAGTTGTCTTTTACTGATTGGCAAGAAAGTTACTTCCGGTCTCTGGTATTTCCTTTATTTCTTATCATTGGCCAGCCCCAGTGGGGTGATGGTCTTATGACTTTCTCCTACACGATTGGCTCACCTCCTTAAAATGGCACAGATTCTCAGCAAGGCAGGTCTAACAAAATAGAGTCACTCTGGTCCTTCAATATCTTGGGCGAGAGATGGTCAAAAGGTCCACTTTCACTTTGAAACATGTCTTTGCCAATATGATAGAAAATATGAAGATATAAAGAGGAGTTTTTGAGTTCTCCATATGTTCTCTCTCTCTCTCTCTCTTTTTTAAAGAGATTTTTGCTATAGGGCACGTGTGGTCACCAGAGACACAGAGAGAGACAGAGAGACAGAAAGCAAGAAATTGCCCTCCAGGGGGATGCCACGCCCAATCCCTTCTCCTCCACTCTCCTCTCAGATTTTGAGCATGCAAGCACACACATCTAGGGTGAGTTTTAAGCCATCAGGTTCAGACTTGAGTCATGGTCGACTATGTGGGAGTCAAGAAACGTAACCATTAATCCATCTGCGGGTCCCTCTATGTGTTCTCTAAAAGAATATGGGCAGGTTTTCTTTGTTGTTTGTTTTCCTATACTGGCAATTTAAATTATGTTACTATTCACAATTCTCTCGAGTGGTTTAGGAAGATTCTGAAAAGACTCAGCTTTGTTTTGCTATTTTATTGTTTGTCAAGACCATAGAGACAGACTCAATATAAAACTGTCAACACCAAAACATTTTTATTCTTTCTCTTTTAAAAATATATAATATAATGAAGATATGACATAATCCTGACTTCTTAAGGATTTCTTAAAAACTCAGTGAAGGAGCAGGGCCTCTGGATGAGGAAACGCCAAGCCTAGAGACCTCATCCTGAGGAAGGTGAACCAGAGGGCAGCAGAGCTAGAAATTGTATAAACCTTCAATTAAAAACTTCCTTAAATCCAAATGACAGTTCTTGTAAAATTTTTAAATGCAACTCAGAATTTGCAGAGTAAACAGTATGAGAGTAAAATAGTCATATAATAGATGCTAATTTTATTGGTCATTTTGTACACACTTGGCAATTTCATATCACAATTATCTATATATTAATAAATCAATAAAATGTTGAGTTGTACACTCTTTTTTAACAATGTCTTAAGACAGAAACCTACAGTTTTATACTAAGCTTAGAAACAGTTCCTTCTCTCTCCAATTTCCCACTAACCTGACATCTTTCTCAAAAAGCATGGCAGAAAACCCTTCACTTCACTTCTTAGTGTTGGCCACTTATGAGCTGAATTCAGGTTCATCCATGCACATAACTTGCCATTTCCTTTTCTCTGAGACAAGGTACAGAAAGGGTTTTCCCAATTTGATTTTCCCCTATTAATTAGGAAAGGAAGGTATGGGCATGAGTCCCACCCACCCAGGCACCAAGGAATACAATGAAAGGCAGGTGCCCTGCCCCAAGGAAAGGCTGTCACATGGCTATTCTGTACTCCAGAAGTACTGGGAATGTATAAACCAAATAAAGGTAGGTATACACATCCACGTATAATAGTATGAGCTCGTAAAATTGACTAGATGATGTTATCTATTTTGAAGGAAATATGAAGGAAGCAATACTTTTTTCCTGTCTTCACTTTTTCATGTTTATCCAAATTTGGCTCTTACTACCCCTAAGAAATGACTATTTGCAGCAACTTAAAGATGCAGAAGTTTTCTGAGCTTCTTCCTTTCTTGTGACATGGCACCATCTAGCAAACAGGGTTATGATGTGAACAATGATTTCTCAGCCTTGTTATTTCACCTTTTTGTCTCACCTTCCTTCTTTCCAGGAAGCAGAATGCGCCTACACACTGTTCGTTGTTGCTGTATTCTGGCTCACAGAAGCTTTGCCTCTGTCAGTAACAGCTTTGCTGCCTGCTTTAATGTTACCCATGTTTGGGGTCATGCCTTCTAAGACGGTAAGTTCTCCAGAAACCCTCTCTCATGATTAGATTTCCTACCTTGGACTGAGATTTCCATAGGCAAAATTCATTTGGGAAATGAGTAGCAATCCTATTGATAAGGCTTCCACAGAAGTCCCTAAAAATTCCAGTTGTTTCTCCCCTCTGGGATTCTATATGTGTCTCTGCCTTTGGGGAACAGAAACAGGCTGAAATTTCTTGAATAGAGTGTGTCAGCAAGAAAAAATGAATGTCCCATCTTCTTTCGCTAACATCAATGCCTGATGCCTTTCTCCCAACCAAAGGGTCAGCTAGTTCATCTCCTGCCCTGCATAAGCTTCTATTATTCAGCAGAATTCAGTCACTCAATATTAGAAGAAAAAAAAATTTTTTTTAACAACAACACCCAAAAAGCTTCCCCATTTTCTTTCCAGAAACCTGCCATTTCAAAATATAAAACCAAATTAACTTTTGCATGCATTTCTATTTTGTTCTTACTGAGAGGAGTTTATTCATACTGAGAGGAGTTTCTTACCTTTATACAATCGAAGGATACCCATCTGAAGCAAATAGATTCAGTTTCCCATTAAAAACATGAAATGCATTGAAACCAGAATAACTTCATGCAGTCTCCGGTCACCTAGTAAACAACTGTTTAAGTCACAGCTGCAACATGTCAGGGAAACATGTCAAGTTTGACATTGCCAGGCCATACATTTTATTACCTTTGGACTGCTACCTTCAGCCTGGGTCCAGCTATCTTGAGACTTAACTGTCTTTAATGAGAGAAAGATTTTTCTGGGAACCAGCAGTTAGCGTAATGGCTATGTTGCTGGACTCCCACGTAGTCGACCGCGATTCGTGTTCCGGACCCGGGGGCTTAAAACTCAACGCCGGGCGCGTATGCATGCGTGCCCAAGATATCGAGAGGAGAATGGAGGAGAAGGGATTATGGTGTGACCATCCCCTCTGGGGGGTGATTTCTCGCTTTCTGTCTCTATGTCTCTCTCTGTCTGTCTGGCGAGGCACGCGCCCTATAGCAAAAACCTCTCAAAAAAAAAAAAAAAGATTTTTCTTTAGCTAATCCGTGGATTACAGTTCTTTCTGCGAGAGGAGCTGTTCCTTTCCTTATCATTCTGTCATTCTTCCCCATTTTGGAGCCCAAACTCATCTTTTTGCATGCATGATCCTCTGTGTTCTTTTTGTCTTACTGCATTTTCCCCCTTTTTCTAATCTTGACTTTTTTTTTCTTTTGTCATTTCTTTCTTTTTCTTTTTTTTTAAATTTTATTATTTATATATTTTTTATTATATTCATACATTAAATCACTATACATCATTTAGATTGTGAAGAGATTTTACCCAGCATGATATATACCTCAGTCCAGCCCACTTGAGACCACCGTTGATTTGGAAGAGAGTACCAACAGGGAAATACTCCATTCCTCTTACTCATAGACTGACCTCCTGCTGTCCACGACATGTGAGATCTATAATCTAAGAAAGTTCTTAAATGGCTCTTATTAAAGGGAATTAGGAAAAAAAAAAAGGAGGACCAGCCCCATGGTGCCATGGTTAGACTGTACAGAGAAAGCCAGAACCCACATGGCCAACCAGGGTTTGAATCCCAGCCCTGATGGCTTTAAACCAGGCAGGAGTGTGGGTGCCCAGGATCCTGACATGATAGAGAATTGGGGGAAATATAATTGTGGCATAACCAGGCCCTGTTGAGGGTGCTAGCTCCCTTTCTTCTCTCTCTTTCTCTCTCATGCTTATAGTCCATATCATGAATAAAAATAAATAAATAAAGCATTAAAAAGAGATGGCAACTACTCAAAAAAAAAAAAAAGCTTCAAATTGTTAATCCCTGTTCTCACTGGATGGGTGATTCTGTTTCAGAGATTGTGAAGTTTATCAGTTATACACTTGTCTTTTATGATTTAATGGCAACAAAACAGACTAAAATGACTTTTTCTTTCTCTTTCTTTTTTTCTTTTCTTCTTTCTTTTTTATAGTGAAAGATTTTTCTATAGTGATATGCACTCACCAGAGAGACAGAGAGAATCAGAGAGAAAGAAAGCAAGAAATCACCCCTTCCCAGGGGTCAGTGGCCATGCTGTAATCCCTTCTCCTTCATTCTCCTCTCAGGATCTTGGGCACCCACACCCATGTACCTAGTGTGAATTTTAAGCCTCCAAGTCTGGGACTCAAACCACAGTCAACTATATGGGAGTCCAGCAATGTAACCATTACACCATCTGCTGGTCATTAAACTGACTTTTTAAAAGAGATCCAGAAAGATAGGAGAATAATTGAAATCACAGGTCATTTTCAGCAAACTTCCTTAAGAGGAGACTTAGAAACATCTGTGGGAAACAGGAGGAAAAGGGTACTTAGGAAGGAAGGTCTACCTCTGTGGAAGCTGTCAACGACATTTATCTCTGTCTTTTCATGATGTGTGGAGGCAACAAAACTGCAGGTTTCAATAGTACCTGCATTACTCTGGCTGCAGATACCTGCCTAAAAGTCATTTATCCCCAGAGGTACTAGTCTCAGACTAATTAAACAGTCAGAGACTCTTAGACTTGGAAGGGAGTTCTCCTGGGTCAATTTTTTCCTGGCACAATGATTCCTTACACAATGTCTCTAACAAATGAAATCATTCAGGAAGTGCTTGAAGATTTTCTAGGTTGTGGTCCCCTACCACTTACAAGAAAATCCACACCATTTTTGGATTTTTTTTTAAAATTGCCAGTGGGTAGGTACATGCGCTCACTGGAAAGAGACAGAGAGGAAGAGAGAGAGAGAGAGAGATGAGAAATCACTGCTCATAGGGAAAGGTCACTCTGCAATCCCTTCTCCTCTTTTCCTCCCTGCTTTTGGTATTCAGGGCATGAACACATATGCTCTAGTATGTTTCTCGAGTTGCCAAATTCAAGACTTGAACCATACAGTAAGCCATTTGGGATCCAGCCACTTTAACCATCAGAACATGGTTAATCCCCATTTGTGGATAATTTTAACTTTTAAGCAACTTTGCTTTATTGAGACCAAGTTTAAAACTTAGTCACCTTGGGACCAGCAGTTAGTGTAATGGCTATGTCGCTGAACTCCCATGTAGTTGACTGCAGTTCACGTCCCGGACCCGGTGGCTTAAAACTCATGCTGGGCGCATGTGAGTGTGTGCCCAAGATCCCAAGAGGAGTATGGAGGAGAAGGGATGGCGGCGTGGCCATCCCCCCTGGGGGGTGATTTCACACTTTCTGTCTCTCTGTCTCTCTCTGTCTGACTGGCGAGCGCACGCACCCTATAGCAAAAACCTCTCAAAAAAAAAAAAAAAAAACTTAGTCACCTTGACCATTAAAGTTTATTTTTTTAACATCAAGGATTACATGAATAAACCTCATATTTCTGTTTCATGATAGTGTTCGAATTTGAAAATCAATATTATTTCTTTCTATATCTTCTTTATGGTTTCAAGACCTCATGACCTCAACTTCCATCTTCAAACTCAACACTTCTAACTCCATACAACCACCATCTTTAAAAAATATATATTATTATTACTTACCAAAAGTGAATAGCTCACTCTAGAAACAATGAATCTATGGTCTCCTCTCTAGTATTTTAGTTTAGGTTTGTTTTAGACTTTTTGTGACTTTTGTCACCTAGTAAACTTAACTGGAACTTGCAGCAAACCAAAGTCTTTAAGACTGTTAGTTGAGAAAGCTGTTCTTCAGTCTTGTGATGGTCTTCTCAGACAGGAAAACTTACCTTTTATCAATTTATTATAAATAGATGACCAAAGCTACAGGATATTATAAAAAGAGCTAAAGATTTAGTCAGAAAGTCTGAAATTTAACATGACAGTTACCATTAATTGTGTGATTCCAATGATATTCTTCTATTTTTTTGGGGGGGGGAGAGGTTTTTGCTATTGGATGCATACGCTTGCCAGAAAGAGAGAGACAGAGAGATAGAAAGTAAGAAATCACCCCACGGGGGAATGGCCACGCCACAATCCCTTCTCCTCCATTCTCCTCTTGAGATCTTGGGCACTCACGCACATGTGCCTGGCGTGAGTTTAAGTCACCGGGTCTGGGACTCGAACCATAGTTGACTACATGGGAGTCAAGCGACATAGCCACTACATCAACTGCTGGTCCCACAATTATATATTCCTCTTCATAACTCTTCTTTTAGCATTTGTAAAAAGACATGATAATATCATACAACTCAGGGCCAGAAGGTGGTTCGAATACCAGACCTGGTGGCTCTTTCTTTCTCTCTCTTTCTCTCTGTCTCTCTCTGGTCAAATTAAAATAAATAAATAAATAAAGTTAAATAAATAATTCTTTAAAAGATATCATACAACTCATAGACAATCAAATTAAATAATATATGTAAAAGAGTGATTAAAAACTAAGGATCATAATTTCTTATTAGCTTTAATATTTCATGAAATTTGTTTGGAGAATTTTAAACTTTTGTTCCAGCCTATTGCACTATCTTTAAATTTCAAATATGTCAGTGGGTATGATGTGTCATTCATATCCTCTTCAAAGTTCAAAGCACTAAACAGTTCTCTCTTTGGCCACTATAGTTTTATCTTTATTTATTAGGCCAATGATAAATACCTATATTTTTTTTTATTTCTTTTCTTTTTTTTTTTTTTTGGAGAGATTTTCACTGTAGGGCGCGTGTGCTCGCCAGACAGACAGAGAGAGACATAGAGACAGAAAGCGAGAAATCACCCCCCAGGGGAGATGGTCACGCCGCAATCCCTTCTCCTCCATTCTCCTCTCGGGATCTTGGGCACGCACGCACACGCGCCCGGTGTGAGTTTTAAGCCACCGGGTCCGGGACACGAACCACGGTCGACTACGTGGGAGTCCAGCGACATAGCCATTACACTAACTGCTGGTTCCCATAAATACCTATATTTTGATGAGAATATTATTGTATTTGAGTATTATTAACAAATATGGAACTTTTTTCTTTTTTCTCCTTTAAAAAAAA